CCCCCAGCTCCAAGGCACTCACATTCATCTCAGAGTGATAGTCACGGAACTGGCGCCCTGAGAATCGATGAGGGAAGTTTCCTTCTGATGTCCTTAACTCATTAGCATATTCGAAGATAAACTGGGGCCCCTGACCAGGGGCCTGTTGGTACCAGGACACAGTGTTGTGCCCAGAGATAGGAGAGCATCTCAGAGTCACTTGCTGTCCTCTCGTTTTGATCAGGTGTGTGGGACTTTGGGTGACTCCAGTGTCCACTGAGCCTGTGGGAAAAGCAGATGGAGGATGAGCCAGGAGACAGCCTGGAGGCCCTCCCCGAGGTAAAGTGGAAGACACAGGGGTGGGAAAGCTGAGAATGGGGCTGCTGTCCAGTGCACAGGACTCACCTGCTCCCAGGAGACAAAGCAGCGCCCAACAGAGGAGCCCGGGGCCCATGGCACAGTGGGGCAGGCAGCACTGCACCTGACGCAGGGCTTGGTTCTCCTGGGGAAGAGCTGAGTGAGTTCTGGACCTTGATTTTGCTGATGCAAGGAGTATCTTGTGATGTCACTGTCCTGTGTCCTTCCCCTACAGGCTTCCTGAGTCCAGTGCTCCCCACAACCCAAACTCTCTCCCTGTCCTGCAGAGCAGAAGGGTTGGGTGAGGGCAGAAGCTTCTGTGATGAGACAGTTGCTCCTCTGCCTACACTGCTCCAGCTCCCAGGCTGCCCCATCGCCCTCTCACCCTCCTCCCACCTAGTGCTGCGGTGCTCCACGCTGGAACTCACACACCTGCCCAACAGCAGAGGGTGAAAAGCCTGTGATTAAACCTTCCTGTTCCAGCTCTTCCTGGCTGTCCTAAGGTCATCTCTCTGATGTTAGATTCAACCAAATTTTCTGGTTCTATTTTTTCGTCTTCAGATAGCATTTCCAGCCCCTCCCTTGAGTGGCCAGTGGTACAAAGTCCCCAAGATTTAGTCTATCTGATCAGATCCAAAGCAGACCTGGGTTGTCTGTAAATTAAGAGTACAGATTCCCCAGAAATAACACTAGGGCTTTATCAGCTCACAGAACAGACCTAGCTAGCCAGTTTGGGATTCAGCACCCTCAAGGCCATCTTATGCATAGTGATCTGGATAATTTATGTTAATTTCTCCAGATCCACCCTGCCTTCAGAGGCTGACCCCAGTGTATTATGTTAACTGGCTCCCTTCTTCTCTAACTCCAGAGGGAGTTTGGCTAATGGGAGACAATGTCAGGAGAGCAGACGGAGGTAGGGTCACACTTGTTCTGATTTGTCTATGTCCTGGTTCTCCCCTTGCTTCGTTATTTTATATTGGTTACTCTTCCCTACCAAAGGCCATAGCACCTTATAGGCAGCCTTGTCTTAAAATTACAGTAGCAGATGCTTTGGGATCCACATCCTGTCCTACTAATTTCAGGCCAATGTGAGTAAGAACCACAGATTCTGCTATTCCTAAGCTACTTCTGCTTCTCTTACTGGGTTCCCTTAACCCTGCGACACCTTTGCAAATACTCCTTTTTGTCCCTCCTTGATATCTCCAGGACCACAAGTAATAGAAAGAGCAATGGAAAAGCGAGTCTGGGATATTTTATTTTGCCTTAAGAGTTAACACAATTTCTAACATTCTGCCATTAGAAGTAATAAGATTTCTAACATCCTGCAATGAGCATTGCTGAAAGAGTCAGGAGAACCATCAGAAATATGCATATGACAATAAACCATGTGACAGTGGACATAGAATCCAAAGAGATCCCAGCAGAGACTCACGGTGCACGCTCACCTACTCTGACCTATCCCCATAAAAGATGAGAGTCCTATACAAATAGATGCTTGTATTCTGTACAGTCCAATTTAGAAATGCATCATATAAAATAAGAATAAGACAGGAACACACTCATGACCACATAAAATATGGAGAAAATGAGACGTGCTTCTTGCTGAGATATACAGCAGCCAAATTTAGTATCAAAATGAGCTGGACTGATAAGAGGCTAAGACACAACCGAGGATCAATGGCTGAAAGAAAGCTACAGACAAAGAAAAAAAAGCCCAACCCCCGATGAAAGCAAAACAAAAAACAAGAAACGGTAAAAAATTAAAAAATTGAAAAAATGGGGGGTCAACCGGCTCACATATTAGCCTTTCATATTGGTTTTCAGCAGATTGGCCAATTGGTGATTTTTTTTTTTTCTGCCAAGCAAGCAGCCCACTCCTCTTTTTGAGAGGGGGGTCCTGGGTGACCCAGCACTCTCCCCTCTTGGCAGCCTCACAGGGGGACATTGGGCACAGAAGAGACATATGGGGTTCTCTGCACATGGAGCATGTATTTCCCATGAAACCCAGCTATGGTTCTCCCAGTCCTTCAGTTAATGGATCCCAACACAAGAAGTCTTGCACCGGGATATGGGATTCTCCCTGTGGATGCTAAAGGGGACTACAGGCTAAAGGAAAATGAAGTGCGTGTTCTATATTATTTTATAATATTTTACAAGAAAAACAAGTTAAGGGACTCACGGATTCTAATCCAAGTCACAGTGATGGTAAGAATTAAGTTCCTTCCTTCATCTATCCTCAGAGGAACTCAAACGGGTACTTAAGTAAGAGGCTTACAATCTTTTCTATAATTCTACTAGCTGATTATTTTCAGGTCTAATGGCAGAGTTTGTTGCATCTATTAACATTTTCCCTAAGTGGATTGTTCACTTGTGTGCTTGTAACTTTATAAAGAAAAAATCGGATTTTCTTGTCCTCCAGAGAACACATGCTTGGTATCCAAAGGAACCAAAGCCAAGGTGATGTTATGTGTACTACATGAGAATCCCAAATCACTCAAGCAGGTCAAAGCTTCCCAGTTGCTTTCTGCTTTCTTCTTCTCCCTTGAAAATAAAGTGAAATATGAATTTCATGTTGGAAGCTACCGTTCTTTTGCACAATTCCCAGAATATTCCAAATTGAAGAAAATAGCGTTATGTTGTTTGCATTTACACATCCCCACTACAGTGATAGACCCCAGCTCACTCTAAGTTTCATGCTTCAGGAGCACACATAGAATGAGATCCCATTGCTGGGAAGTCTGGGAAGAGCTTCAGAAAGGGCAGCTTTTTCTTCTGGTTGAGGCAGGGCCTTCCGTAAGGAGTACCCACCTCCAACCTGTGGCTGCCCTTTTGGTGCAGAGAGCAGCTGGCTGTACAGGGCTGTGGATGCCCTGCCGCAGAGGTACAGAGAAGTCCGGCTGGTGCTGGTGGATGCCAGGCTCAGGGGAAATGCTCAGGCTTGTTTCCAGAGACACTGTACCCTTCTGTGACATCAACTTTGGTCCTGCTGCCACCACTACCTGAATAACAGATCAATTTCAGCCTCTGTCCTGGGTCTTGTCGATATCAGAACATTGAATAATGGTTCCTAATCTGAGCACATTCCAGGATCATCTCTTTTCCTGTCTGTATAATGTGGTATCTTGGTGTCTGGGTGATCCCAGCATCAACAGAGTCTGCTGGAGAGGCAGATGGAAAGTGAAGACAAGAGTTAAGAGGTAGGGGGACTCTTCAGAGGAAAGAGGAAAAAAGGCTTGGAGCCCAGACATTGCAAACCCATGACAGGGTTTTGCAGCTGTTTCCAGGACTCATATGATCCCAGGAGACAAAGGGTCATGCAGAAGAGTTTGGGGTTCATGACAGGGTTAGAGTGAGGAGGGGCTCTCCCAACTAAGTGCCCTGATCCTCAGGACTGTGAGCTGGGGCTTGGAGGCCCCTCTCTAGGGAACAGTCTGGTGGGCCTGTGGTGTCATCCCCCATGCCTTCAGAGTCCAGCTGTCCAGGCTGTTCTGACTGGTCTCAGGCAGGATCCACCTCCTCTCATGAAGGCTGTTGCCCGGCGAGGCCTGCAGGGAAGATAAGGTGCAGCAGAGACACACTGGGCTTAGGGCACAGCCCGCCCCTCGCCTCCCCATGTTCCTTTGAGGCAGTTGCTCCTCTGTCTGCACCTGCCCCTGACACCAAGGCTGCCGGCCAAAATTCTTCAACTGTGGATCTCATTAAAGATTAGAGGTATTTCCTGAATCTTGCATAGCTGTAGGTAGCCTAGCAATAACTGTAAACTGTTGCAACATTTGCATAATATTGAATCCCAGCCTTAATTTTTCTTAACCCTTCCCCTCCTAGGCTGCTCTCCCAGGCTCTCCCCAGAGCCCCTTAAATCCCAGTGGACCACAGTGCCATCTTGTGGCCAGTAAGTTAAGTTTCATCATTGCTTCTGCAATGGCCCAAGGGATGCTGGGAAGTGTCTGCAGAGTGAGCCGGGAGACTATTCTAGAAGTGCCATCCTGCAGGTTTTATGAGCAATCTCCCTAAACCCTGATTCCAACAATGGTTCTAACCCTGACTATGGCTTTTCTCAAAGCTGAATATCCCACCCTCATTCAAAATAACTCTTATCACATAGCAGCCATTAGAGTCTAACTGATACTTTCTCCCTTAAAACTATCATATAAAGGGAGCGGGATAGAATGGGAGGAATGGAAGAAAATTGGATTTAGTCTGAAGTAGGAGGAACATACAGGAATTGAAGTGCATAGTTATTTCATTTCCATTACCAAAGACGAAATACATGTCCCCCAAAATAACAGTCAATGTTACCATGAAAATAAAGATTAGCAGAAGATTGGGACGATAATGAGATTACCTTCAAGACAGCATCAAATATGTATTAATGAAAAGTAAAATTTGAATGTAAAAAGTAGGATCCCTTGCAGGCAACAAGTAATCTTGAAGGGAGCAGTATCCAACGTGGAAAATAAGGATGGATAATGAAGACCAGCAAAGGGCCTTCCACAGAAAATGATTAACGTGTACAACGCACATCTGCTGATCTGAGCAGCAGACATGCAAGCAATGATTCTGGAAGAGGCAGAGGAGCGTTGTGAGATGAGGATGCAAAATAGTATCATAAGGAAGCAAGGAGAGAGAGGAGGAGGTTTGTGAGCAGGAAAGAGGCGATTGTGTCATGCTGTGGTTAAGCTGCTGGCACAGAAGTACATGGCTGAGTCCCCCTGCTCTGTGCGTTGGATCTTCAGAGTAGAGACGGATCCTTCAGGCCTTGTTGCAGAGAACCGATCACTGCGCAGCCCTGAGTCATCTACTGCACCCGTGCCTTGGAAGTAAATTAGAAACTCTAGGCCCTGCCCCAGGTTCTGTCGGTACCAGTAAAGGACAGCATGACCTGAAATTGGATCACACCTGAGCGCTACATCCTTTCCCTTCTCTGTGACTTTGTTACTGGGGGACTGGGAGACTCCAGCACCTGTGTGATCTGTGGAGAGACAAGTTGAAAACAGAATGAAGAATGCAGTTGTACTCATCTCACACATATACACATTCACACAAACACACACACAATGAGGCTGGTTGGTGTCTGAGGACTCACCTGCCCCCAGGAGGCCAGGGCAGCCCAGCAGAGGAGCCTGTTGCCCATGGCAGAGTCGGGGCAGGATGAGAGCTTTGCCAGATCAGGGTCATTGTGAGCAGGAGCAAAGGAAGAGGGACGTCCCTGTCCCCACAGAGCAGTTCCCACAGTGACATCACTTCCTCTCTCAATCCCCACAATCTCAGGAACACAGGATTTATATTAGAACACACTTAGATGACTGCTTTAGATATTTATTAGCTCCTTTTAAACAACATAAATGCATCAGTCTTCACTTTGTTCTCCAGAGCTATCTGGAGCCGGAGGCCTCACGCTGCATCTCTGAGTTCATCTCCTCACCCCACAGCCGCTCCTCTGTCTGCTGGGCATGTTCTCTAGGATGTGCCATCAGCGTCCCCAACACAAGGCACCAACGGGTGAGCTCATTGCCTTTTCTGCAAGTCAGGGTCCCCTGTACCATCCCATTCGTGCCCCAGCCTCCTCCATCCCCCGAGTCACACGTGCCCAACAGGACTGCCCCATCACATGGGTTCCCTCGCTAGCTGCACCTCATGCCTTCCTTCTGGGACTACTTCCCACCTTTGTTGGCTATAATTCAAAAAAGATAACTTATTGGAAAACTCATAGTCTTTTTTTTAATTTTTCCACTTGTAAATATATTTTCCTCCATCTCAGTATTTAATGAATGGGATCACAATTCTCACTAAATGGTTATTTTCGATCCTCTTTCTTGACTTTCATTGATCTTTTCAGTCTATTCCACCAGGAGAGATTGATCTTTTCTTTGGGACTGCTTTTAGAATCTTCTCTTTGTCACTTATGCTCCACAATCTCACTATAATATAAACATTTATCTTATTTCATATTCACTTGAATTCTTGAAACTGAGAATTTAGGTACTGAAACACCTCTGGAAAATTCTCAGCTAGTGTCTCGTCATAATCCCTTATTCCCTCTACTTTCTTTTTCTGAAACTTCAATTATCTATAAGAAAAATGGGAAATATATGTTTATGTAATATATAATTTTTAATTATATATTTATTTATATATTATATTATATTGTATTATTAGAGTGATAATCTTTTATATTAATCAATTATACTTTATAGTTGATTATGATATAATCAATAATGATTTAAATATAAACTAATATATATTTATACCTTATAACTAAATAAACATATAATTAAAAATTATATATTCTACAATGCTGGAAACCACCCGTAAGCTCTCTCTCAGGTTACATATTTAATATTCAGTGCTGCATTCTATGTAACTTCTTCAGCTCTGTCCTTGACATCACTAATAATCTCTTAGAAGCATTTCATCTTTTCTTCATTTCCATTTTGTTTTCAGTGATAATTTTAATCATTTCTATATTGAATTTGATTATTTTTTAATGTTACCTTGATGGTTTCTGACAGTCTCCTTTTTCTTGTTCACATTTCAATTCCCTTTAAGTATAGTTCTACAGACTTTCATATATTTTAATGGTAGAAATTTCTTGTCTTCATACACTTCAATTGCTTATTGTTTCTGCTCACTTGTCTTCACTGGTTCTTATTTTAACAATCTTAACAGTAGCAGCATATTTATCTGACATTAATCTATGGCATTCAAGAGAGGCCTGCATTGAGAGTGAAGAACTTCAAGACTCCATAGTTTTTCCAACTGTCTCCAGTCTTACCACCAAATTCATGCGGCCAAGAATTGTCTGTTGCACTGTGGATTGCTAAACACTCTCATGGTTTGGGTTCCTGGGGAACATGCTCTCAGGACAGCCACAACGTACCCTCTAGAACACAATTCTGATTTTCTCTTACTTTCTCCACAAATTAGCAACTATAAGGCTGTTCCCATCCTGTTCTTCCAAGAGAAAATAATATATGTGTATATATAATCTACAAATGTACCCTCTTCGGGGTTTTGTTTTTGTTCCTAACCCAAAACTTTAAGAAATAGCGTAGATATTAGAATTATATACAGAAAGTTTACCCTCATTCAGTTTGAAGAATACATCATATTTTAAATTGGAAATTCCCAGACTGACAAACTGGCTTGCACAGTGCATGGTCCTATGCTTGTTCAACAAGCGAGTGCCCCCTGATGAGCTCATAGCACAGCGTCTCAGGCAAAGTTAACTCTAGATCTCTGACAGGGTACAGTGAATCTAGTGTGTTCTTGTTATTGGCTCATTCACCCACTCATCACTCACTCACTCACCTGTCACTCACTCATCCAGTCTCTGTGAAATGAATGAGGACTCCCTGCCTGCCAGGCACTGCTGGTGGTGAATGCAACAAGATCAGCCTTCACCCTCATAAAGTTTAAAATTAAGTGGAGCACAAAACGAGTAAGACAAGTTGCAAGGAAAAATTGCAACTGTGCTGAACTTTGCTAACAGGCACATGATTCTATGAGAGCTTATGAGAGGGAAATTGAAATTTGACCTCAGCTGAGAGTTGAGGGGGTGCTTCCAGTAGGAAGGCTGATCACGCTGAGATCAGAAATGCAGGTAGAAGCTGACCACTGCAGAAAGGAAGGCACTAGCCCAGGGTGGAGGAAATGGCCTTTGAGGTCTCTGTGATGGGAAGGAAGGAGGCACAGAAGAGGCAGCCTCATGGCTGCAGTAGAAGGGGAGGGGAGGTGTTGCGGAGAGGCCCAACAAGGCCCTTCGGAGGGGACTGCTCAGATGGGAAAGGCAGGCCACAGGTAAGACCACGTGAGAGTGGGGACTGGGGAAAACCCTGGAGAGAGGAAGCAATGTGGTCCCCAGAGAGAGAGATGGGAGTCTAGACGGATTTGAAATACAAATCCTGTTCCATCCTGGGAGCCTCGTACTCAGGATGATGAGCAGAAAAGTAAGAGCTGCGAAAGCGCTGGTCCCATCCCAAAAAGATAGCTTGGAGGAAGACCAGAGAGCAAAAACAGAGACATCTGAGGCTCTGGGACCAGTCCAGGCCTGGCTAGGACTGCCTGCAGAGGCACCTGGCACAGACTGAGGCTCACACTGCCTGGGACCCATTGGGCTTCCAAGATTCCCAGTGCTGAGAACTCTGCCAAGGACATGATTGAGTCCGGGTCTTGAAATCCACACAGGGGCCCTGCCCAGGACTTACCTGCACACAGGAGAGAAAAGGCCACACAGCACAGGAGCCTGATGCTCATGGCAGGTGCTACAGGATGGAGGGGTCTTCTGGGTCTGTGTGTTGATGAAAGGGGAACAGGGCTCTCAGGGAAGTCATCCTGAGACTTCATTCTCTCTGCCTGGTCCCCAGAACCTTCCTGTCAAGAGAGGCCATGCCCCTTCCCCAGAGGGTCAAATCCAAAATAAATGCACCACTGAAGTTTTGATGGAAAGAATGCTTCTTGACATAAGCCTTACAAGTTTTTCTTGACCTTGATGCAAACAGCTTGTAATTCAATGTAAATTTTATTCCTGCAATGATGTAATTCCCCATTAATATTCTGGTGTTAGTTATCTACATAGTGCTGTAGTCTAGAGTCTTAGGGAAACTCCTCATGTCTTCCTGGTGTTTTTGACTCCTGTGTCCCAAATACTCCTTCAAGTATCCTTTTCTAATTTGCTTAATTGACCATAATCCTGTTAAAGTCCTGTGTCTATACTGGTTTTCTCTGTTATCAAGTTTCCAAATCCCAGGGGCAGGCTCATCAACATTGGAGGAGTCGTTTTGCTCTGTTTCTTCTCAATTCACTGACAGATGGGACTCCTGACAAGCCCAGCTGGGCACCTTCACCTCCATCCCGAGTTCTTGCTTTCTGTTCCTGCGGTGAGACCACAGCAGGCAGAACCACCTCACGCTGCTGACTGCCCTCTCTGTGTGGACAATGGTGGCCACACAGCACTGCTGAAGACTGTGAACACAAAGGTGTCCTGATGAGTGAGGGACTTGGCAAGAGGCAGCAGACTTCAAGGTAAGGAAGAATGCTCTGGTTTTATCTGAGGTGTCATGCCTCATAGGGGATATCCCTTCTTGCAGGATTCTGGCCATTAATTTAGTAATAAATGAAAACGAGCTCAAAAACTGTATCTTTGGTGTTCAGAGCCCCGCATTCAGAAGGACCCCACACTTGGTTTATCACTCTGCTGTCATGATTTTTAAATTCTTAATAGTGTTTGAACAAAGGACCTGCCAGTAAGTCATGTTGCTGGTTGTAAATACATGATTTTCATACTCTGCTCACCTCCCCCTCTGCTGGTTTCCTTTCAGCACAAGGCATGACCAAGGTCTGGTCATTCAGCATCTATGGGGCTTAGTAGTGAAGGACACAGAAATTAAAGTCACAGCTAAGGGCCACCTGGTGCTGAAAGCCACAGCTGGGATCCAACAAGCCCATTAGTGGGTTTCACGTGTGTGCCCAGGACTCCTGTGGTTCAAGAGACAGAAACACAGCTCAGGATCCTGGTGCCCAGGACAGAGCCAGAACAGGAAGATAAATTCTAGCTGAAGGCTCAGGATTTATAAGGTAAACACCTGGGGTTAAGGCAAAAAGAACGCTTCTCCCATTGTAACATCATCTTTCAACGAAGTCGCCATTAGCATGGTTTGCTCGACCCCAGCGTGCTCAGCATGTGAACACAAAACCAGCTGCATGCGTGTCCTACGAGAACTCAAAATAATTTCCTTGGAGATAACTTTTATCAGGATATCATTATTAAATAATTTGAGTTAATGAATGGAGAAGAAAAGAAATGAATGAAAATGAATAAATAAATTTTGTTGAATCAGTTTCTACCAACTGAAAAGACCTTTTGAGGTTACTTCGGTACAACGTCCATTTCCAGATAGAATTGTCCCTACTATGGATCAAGGTAGCTCTCATGGTTTCAACCCCTTCTAAAACCATAAAACCTCCCAGAAACTCCTCCCTGCTTTGATTATTTTGCTATGTATTCAAGAGGATTAATCGGTAGGGGTTTTAAATTAACATTAAAAATATTTGTGAACAAAACTACTCTCCAGTGATAGAAGTTACATCATTGGTTTTCTGGGACCAAGATAGGCATTGCAGAGGTGCTTGACGGAACTTTCTGGGTGATGGAGATATTCTACACTTTAATAAGGGTGGGGATTATAAGGACATGTACATATATATTGCTCAAAAATCACTGATATGTTCATTTAAAATGTATAACGTTTACATTGTATAACTTATATATCAATAACATTGATTTCTAAATGCCTCAAGAGGGATCCATACTGCATTCTTTAGTTAATTAGTTAATTTCATCAAATAAATCATCAGAGGAAATGTATATTTCTATTTCTGTGACTTCTGAATCCTCAACCTAAGATTTCTAGTTATAACTCCGTATCTGCCTTTGCACATTGTCATGGTGAAAGAGGCTATCTGAGATTATCAAAGAAAATCAAAATATTACGTTGGTGCAAAAGTATTGCAGTTCTTACCATTAAAACTAAAAGTAATGGCAAAAACCTCAATTAGTTTTGCACCAATCTAATATCTAGATTTCTGCTACATGCTAGATATTTTATGCTATTAAATTTTGTATACCATTCTGCAGATGGACAGTAGCAGTCTCATTTCATAGATTAAAACAAAAACAACAACAACAAAAAAAAACCAAAACAAAACATAAAAAACAAAAACAGTAAACAAACTAAGCCAAATCTATCAAGAACTGGCCTCGGGTCTTGAGGAGCTGGTGCTAGAATGGTAGTCCGGCTTGATGTCATGGCTCCCATTCATAGTTGTTTCCTGCCACCCCTCTCTCCAGGGTAAACTGATCTCTGTCTATGATGTTATTAGAGCCAGCAGGTCTGAAAGGGACCTAAGGGATAACATTCAAATTTTTTTGAAGATAAGCATCGTTTGTTATGAAATAGATTATAGTATACGGCTATAAAACACAGGGCTTTGATAGACCAGGGTTAGAGCCCCAGTATTGCATCCTAATTTCTACTTAGTTTGGCTGAGTAATTTAAACTATGGACAATTCCTCTACCTATAAAATGAGAATAGTGTTTGCATGTTAAGATGTTTTCTTGTAGTTGAATTTCTAATTAATTGAACTTTTCCTAATGAAGGCTTTCTATTTTGTGTATACTAAAATGATAATAAATGATTGGATTAGTATTTTTTCAAAGTCTTCTCCATGAAGCAGAATTGAACTGTGAACGTGCATCAATGTACTCAGTGCTTGCAGTTCTGCAAATGACTGCCAGTCATGTGACAGACCGTTTCATAGAAACAGTCAAATATGACACATTTTATACTTTAGACCTTAAACATGTTATATGCATACAATGAAGTTTTTTAAACTTTAAAAAGAGGAAAATCCAGCCATATGTGACAATGTGGATAAAACCTGCAGGACGGTACACTAAGTGAATAAGCCAGGCACAGAAAGGCAAATATCGTATGATTCTGCTTATATGACGGAACCTAAATAATCAAAGTAATGGACGCAAAGGTGAAGGTAGTTTCCAAGGGCAGGGGATTGGAGTAAATGGAGAGTTGTTGTCAATGGTATACAATTTGAGTTAAGCAGGATGAATAAGATCTAGGGATGACTGTACAACCTTTTGCCCGTAGATTACAATACTGTATTGTACATACAAAAATCTGTTTAAAAGATATATTTCATATTATATATTCCTACCACAATTAAATTAAATGACTGTCTAAAATGAGACTAGTTAGCCAGAGAAAGAGGAAAAATGTAAATTTGTATAATTTAGAAATTAGTAAATTATTTTTTATAAAGAAAACAATTTTAAAAATAAATGCAAGCCTTAACACTCCAAAAAGCATGAAACATTTTTTCCACTTAATTTGTTTTTCTTTTCAGTTTTAAGTTACAGAATCCCTTATACAAAGAAGGATCCTCAAAAAGTTTATTGAATAAAAGAATAAGATTAATGAATGAATGAATAACAACTATTCATGTTCATTTTTCTCAAGGTATATTACATCAGTTACAGAAAGTCCACAGTGCAGAAAATTTTATTTCTTTTTCTTTCCTACAATGAAGGATGAATGTAGATGCTTGACGAGGAAGTTCCTTCGGCTTGTCGGGGAACAGGCTTTAATGACCACATATGAGACATGACCTTCCCCTCCCGCTAGCGGGGATCTGAAATGAGGAAGCCAGAGGAGAGGACAGATGTACAGAGGAGGGGCGCGTGCAGAGGTGTCGGAGGAACCAACTGCAGCCAGTTACTAAACATGAGACCAGGAACACCTGCTTCCACTCATATGTATAAACAGGTAATATAATATTTACCCTGCCTGATGTCAGTGGGCATTAAAGCAGATCACACGTAGAAACAGCAGAGCGCCTGGGAAAGGCCTGTCAACTCCGCAGGGCCTGAAGCCCTCTGCCTGGCAGCACCCCACTCATGGTCATTTCCTGAGTGGGGCAGGAAGGTTTCTGGCATTTCCTCGGGAAACTGGCCTTTCCCAGTTACTCTCCCTGCAGGCCACCCCTGCCTGCTCTACCCATTGGCAGATCCCAGGCTCTGCTGCGTCCTGCACCATTCCTGTCCTACACAATCCTGAAATTAAAAACGGGGCAGGCGGAACACGGTCCCCACATGCCCACATCCCACCTTATTTTTCTCTGACAACCCCTGTCCCTTTCCTGGCACTGATTCCCAGCCCTTGCCACCCCAGCCTCTTCACCCTCCACTGCCCATGCAGAGGCAGAGACATTCTCTCCTTGGTGCAAACTGAAGTCCCTGGTGTCCCTACCTTGCCCTGGGCAGTCCCAGGACCTACTCCGAATTCCAACCACGTCCTGATGCCAGCACACAGCTAAACATTCCCTTCAGCCCTCCTCTCCTGGGTCACCCTCCACTCCTCCCCAGGGTTCCCCACAGCTTTGTGGAGCCACAGTGCCTCCAAGTGGCCAACGTTCCAATGTCATGGATTCACACCTTCTGACCTGATGAGCTCAACATTGTCCAAGTCAGGAGCAGAGATGCCCCACCCCAACCCCTGCAACCCACACCCTCTCACACACACACTCTCTATTGCTTTCCCAGAAGGGTTGACTTAGGGTGGAACTTCAAATTCACACTTGGCCAGTGGAAACAAAAGGACACATCTTGATTGCACAATAAACTGCTGCTACATCATTGCAATGAGTATCCTAAGATGGAAGAGGGGAGCCAGAATTATACAGGCCACAGGATGAAATAGTATGAGGATATCAAGCAGATCTAGGAAACACGACATTCCAGAGCTCCTCTTGATTAATCAGAGCCACACCTTTTCACACTTGGTATTTAGATTTGTGTGTGTGTGTGTGTGTGTGTGTGTTTTTGAGACGGTGTCTCGCTCCATCACCCAGGCTGGAGTGCAGTGGCACAATCTTGGCTCATTGCAACCTCTGCCTCCCAGGTTCAAGCAATTCTCCTGCCTCAGCCTCTCGAGTAACTAGGACTATAGGCGCCTGCCACCATGCCCGGCTAATTCTTGTTTTTTAGTAGAGATGGAGTTTCACCATGTTGGCCAGGATGGTCTCAATCTCTTGACCTCGTGATCCGCCCACCTTGGCCTCCCAGAGTGCTGGAATTACAGGTGTGAGCCACCACACCTGGCCTGTATTTAGATTTATTATTGCCAGATTTTAGATAGCACTTTCTATAAAGAGGATTTTTCGATTTTACAAAAACATTTCTGAATTTATAAAAATCTTGAAATAAACTACCCTATGAGCTATATATAACTTAGGCAGATTCAACTGGGTCTGATGTTTCCTTTCTCTACCTAGAAGTACCTAGGAGCTCTGCCAATGACCTGGCACCTCTTGGTAATGCCACACTGAGAAACTATTTCCATGTGCTGAGTCTCCACAGAAAACACACACACACACACACACACACACACACACACACACAATCTTGGTTTTTTAATTTTTATTTTACTCTAAGTTCTGGGATACATGTGCAGAATGTGCAAGTTTGTTACATAAGTATACATGTGCCACGGTGGTTTGTTGCACCTATCAACCCATCATCTAGGCTTTAAGCCTCCCATGCATTAGGGATTTGTCCTCATGCTCTCCCTCCCCTTCCCCCCACCCCCCCGACATGCCCTAGTGTGTGATGTTCCCCTCCCTGTGTCCATGTGTTCTCATTGTTCAACTCCCACTTATGAATGAGAACACGTGGTGTTTGGTTTTCTGTTCCTGCACACACAATATCTTTTACTTGGAAAGGATGATAAGATTCCATCTTAACTAATTTTTATTTCAGTTTTTTAGGTTGATTTCTGAGAAGCACCTTTGATGATGTTCTAGTCTCATCAAATCTCTAAAAATGTAGCTATGGAAAGTGTGGTTATGCTGAATAATTCGTTTTTATGGGATCATGAGACTGGATGAATATTACTACAACACAGTTTTATTTTGGAGTTTTGGAAAGTGGACAACTGCCTTCCAGACCCCAGATCAATAGAGCCACTGACAGCTTGCACCCTGTGCCTGGACAAGCCAAAACACTCAACAACATGTGAAAGCAACCCTGGGGGGTGAGCTCTGGAAAGTCACAGGGGAAGAACTCCCAAGGCCTTGGGAGCCCCTCTTTGCACCAGTGTATGCCCTGGATGTGGAACAAGGAGTCAAGAACTATTGGAGGTTTACGATGTAATGACTTTGGCTGGGTGCACTGGCTCATGTCTATAATTTCAGCACTTTGGGCGACCGAGACGGGCAGATCATCTGAGGTCAGGAGTTCGAGACCAGCCTGGCCAACATGGCAAAACCCCATCTCTACTAAAAATACAGAAATTAACCAGGCATGGTGGCAGGTGCCTGTAATCCCAGCTATTCAGGAGGCTGAGGCAGGAGAATTGCTTGAACCCAGGAGGCGGAGGTTTCAGTGAGCCGAGATCGCACCACTGCACTCCAGTCTGGGTGACAGAGCAAGACTCTGTCTCAAAACCAAACAAACAAACAAGCAAACCAAAAAAATTAATGACTTTCCTGATGGGCTTCAAACTTGGATAGCACCTGTAGCACCTTTGTTTTGCCCAATTGCTCCCTTTTGGAAGAAGAATGTTTACCCCATGCCTATATTCTCATTGTATCTTAAGAATAAATATTTTTTTAAAAATTTTACAGGCCAGTAAGGAGGAATAGACCTGCTTTGTCTCCAATGAAGCATCAGACTTTGGACTTTTGAGTTAACGCTGGAATGAGTTAAGACTTCGGGAGACTGTTGGAAAGGCACGATTGTATTTTGCAATGTGAGAAGGATATGAGATTTGAGAGAGAAAAAAGGCAGAATGATAGAGCTTGAATATTTATCCCCACTCATGTCTCATGTTGAATTGTCATCCCCGGTGACGGAGGTGAGGCCTGGTGGGTGGTATTTTGGTCATGGTCATGAGAGCAGATCCCTCATGGCTTGGTGCTGTCTTCATGATAGTGAGTGAGTTTTTGCAAGATCTTGTCATTTAAAAGTGTGTGGCAGCTCCCCCTCAGATATGCTTTGGCTCTGTGTCCCCACGCAATCTCACTTTGAATTGTAACAATCATCATGTATCAAGGGCAGGGCCAGGTGGAGATAATTGAATCATGGGGGTGGTTTTCTCCGAACTGTTCTCATGATAGTAAATAAATCTGAGGCATCTGATGATTTTATAAATGGGAGTGCCCTTGTGAAAGCTCTTTTGCCTGCTGCCATGTAAGACATGACTTTGGTCTTCCTTCACCTTCTGTCGTGATTGTGTGGCTTCCCCAGCCATGTGGAACTGTAAGTCTATTAAACCTCTCTCTCTTTTTTTTTTTAATTAATTACCCCGTCTTGGGTATGTCTTTATTAGCAGCATAAGAACAAACTAATACACCCTCCACTCTCTATCTCTTGCTCCTGCTTTTGCGATGTGATGTGCCCGCTCTCCCTTGGCCTTCTGCATATTTATAAGCTTTTGGAGCCTTCTGAGAAACAGATGCCAGTATTATGCCTCTTGTACAGCCTGCAGAACCATGAGCCAATTAAACCCCTTTTCTTATAAATTACACAATCTCACGTATTCTTTATAGCAATGCTAGAATGGCCTAATATACCTTCTCTCCACTTAAAGACAGGAGAGGGAAGAGTAAAGAGGACTTTTTCTTGAAAATCAGACACCAGTTCAGTCATAGTAGGATAGGACAATGGGCAGAGTACTGAGGCCCCAATTCTAGGCCCTACCTCTTGGATAACATTTCTAAACACACCATAGGCCGGAAGGGAACCTGCTGCCTTGTGGAGAAGGAACAAGACCCAGAAAAATTCATCATCTGCTGAATAAAGAGCACTTGGGCCCTGAATAATCAGCAGCAATGCCCAGGTAGTACTTGCCATAGAGCTTACGTGAGAACCTGAGACATGCTGGTTCCAGGTGTGATGCAGCACATACTCAACTGTGGTGAATATGGGGAGAGGTTCCTCCTGCTTGATAAAAGAGAGGGAAGAATAAAGGAGACTTTGTCTTGCAGATTAGGTACCAGCTTGGCCAAGTGGAGTAGAGCACAAAGTAGGCTCTGGGGGTCCTGGATTTCAGGACTTGGCTCTTGGATTGCATTTCTGGACCTGCCCTGTGCCAGAGGAGAGCCCATTGCCCTGAAAGAAGAGTCTCAGGTCTGGCAGCATGTACCACAAGCTGGCTAAAAAGTACTTTGTCCCTGAGTGAACATTGGCAATAGTCAGGCAATTCTTGCTGTGGGCTGGGACAGTGGTAGCCACAGGGAGAGACTCCTCTGATTGTGAAAAGGGCAGGGAAGAGTGGAAAGAACTTTGTCTTGTGACTTGAGTGCCAGCTCAGCTGCAGTAGAAGAGAGCTCTAGATAGATTCCCAAGGTTTCTGACTCCAGGCTCTGGCTCCTGGATGGCATCTCTGGATGTCCCCGGGGTCAAGGGGCCTTGTGACCCTGAAGGAAAGGATATAAGCCTGGCTGACTTTTCCACATGCTGATTGTGGATCCCTGGGGCCTTCAGTGAACGTAGACAATAAGCAAGGCAGTGGTTACCGTGGACCTTGGGTGAAACCCATTATCATGCTGGCTTTAGTTCTGACCTAGGGTCTCAGTGATGGTAGCCACAGGAGAGCATGTGCCACTTCTCCCTCAGTTCCAGGTAGTTCAGCACAGAGAGAGACAGAAACGTTTGTTTGAGTGAAAGTGAAGGAAGAGAACAAGAGTCTCTGCCTGATAATCCAGAGAATTCTTTCAGATCTTGTCCAAGACCACCAAGGCAGTACATCTACGAGTCCACAAGGGCCACAGAATTACTGGTCTTGGGGTGTCCCCTAATGCAGATAAGTTTTCAGAGACAAAAAACTTAGATGACAACACCCAAGTACATTCAAATACCTGAGAAGCTTCCAAGGGCGAGTACAAACAAGCCCAGACTGCAAAGACTATAATAAATACCTAACTCTTCAATGCTCCGACACAGGCAAACATCCACAAGCCTCAAGACCATTCAGGAAAACATGACCTCACCAAATGAACCAAATAAAGCACCAGAGGCCAATCCCAAAAAGAGAGAGAGATGTGTGACCTTTCAGACACAGAACTCAAAATACCTGTTTTGAAGAAACTCAACAAAATTCAAGATAACACAGGCAAGAAATTCAGAATCCTGAAGAGATCTAAATAATTAAAAACAATCAAGCATAAATTTTGGAGCTGAAAATGCAATTGACATTCTGTCGAATGCATCAGGGTTTCAACCTCACAATTGATGAGGCAGAAGAATCAATGAGCTTGAAGACAGACTATTTGAAAATACACCATCAGAGGAGAAAAAAGAAGAAAAATTAATGAAGCACAAATACGAGATCTAGAAAATAGCCTCAAAAGGGCAACTTTAAGAGTTATTGACCTTAAAGAAGAGGTAGAGAGAGAGATAGGGCTGAAAGTTTATTCAAAGTCATGATAACAGAGGAATTCCCAATCTTAGAGAAAGATATCAATATTCAAGTCAAAGAAGATTATAGAATACCAAGCACATTTAAGTCAAAGACTACATCAAGACAATAATGAAACTTCAAGGATAAATCAAAATTTCAGGGATAAAGAAAGGATTCTAGAAGCAACAAGAGAAAATAAACAGATAACATACAATGGAACACCAATATGGTCTAGCAGCAGATTTTCCAGTGCAAATCTTACAGGTCATGAGAGAAGAGCATGACATATTTAAACATAAAAAAGTTAATACTAGAATAGTATATTCAGTGAAAATATCCTTCAAACATGAAAGGGAAAGAGTGACTTCCCCAGACAAAACCTGAGGGACTTCCTCAACACCAGACTTGTCCTAGAAGAAATGAAAAGGAGAGTTTTTCAATCTGAAAGAAAAGAGCATTAATGAGAAATAAGAAATTATCTGAAGGTGCAAAACTAACTGATAATAGTGCACAGAAAAACACAATATTATAATACTGTGATTACGGCGTGTAAACTACTTAGACTAAAAGATGAACCAATAAAAAAAAAAAAAAAAAACCACAGCTTTTCAAGACATAGACAGTACCTAAGATATAAACAGAAAGGACACAAAGTTGAAAGGACAGTGTTAAACTATAAGATTTTTACTAGTTTTCTCTTGTTTTTGGTTTGTTTGCTTAGGCAATCAGTGTTATGTTGTCATCAGTATAAGATATTATTTGCAAGCCTCATGCATAGTAACTTTAAATACAAACATATGCAACATAGTAACTTTAAATACAAACAAATACAACAGATACACAAAAATAACAAACAAGAAATGAAAATACATTATCAGGGAAAAATCACCTTTACTGAAAAGAAGGCAGGAAAGAAGAAACAAATGAAGAGGAGACCAGGAAACAAATATATGGCAGTAACAAGTACTTACTTATCAACAATAACATTGAATGTAAATGATTTAAACTCACCAAAGGACAGAGAATAGCTGAATGAATGTAAAAACAAGACCCAACGATCTGTCACTTACAAGAAACACACCTCCCCTAAAAAGATATATAAATTGAAAGTGAAGAGATACAAAAAGATGTTTCATGCAGATGAAAACCAAAAAAGATCACAAGTAGTTATATCTATATCAGATAAAATGTATTTCAAGATAATAACTATAAAAAGAAGCAAAGGTTACTGTATAACAACAAAAAAGCTAGCACAAACATATACATGGAAACTGCCACATTGCCATTATTGGCACATACTTCTGAGCATGTACCCCAATGCCACCATTTGGAAAAAGTACTTTGGCTGGCATCCTCCATTGGAGTGTTATTGCCAGTGGAATTGGGAATGCTTCAGTCCCTCTGGTGTAGCAGATGCTTTAACCTTGAGGTGTCAAAA